GCACTCTACCCAGGGGGGACAGCTTGAGGCTCTGTCTCAAAAAAAAAAAAAAAAAAAAAAAGAGCTTAAGGCAATATGAGACACAGTGAAAAGGTCTAAAATACATGAAATTGGAAACCTAGGACACAAGAAGAGAACTGAAGCAATATATGAAGAAATATAGGTTTAGAAAGTCACCAACACATACATTCAAAGAGCTCTATAAATTCCAATCAGGACAAATACTGAGAATAGGGTAGGGGGAACCACAGGGGCGCATAATGGTAAAACTGTAAAAAATCAAAGAAAGAAAATCTTAAAATCAGCTTGGGGCAGGGAGCAAGGGTTAAGGCAGGGAAGACAGTATACACTTTTTTTCTAAAGGACAAAAGCAACAAGTACAGGTTTTTCAACAGAAATAATGAAAGATGAAAGATAATAATATAACATATTTACAGTGATGGAAGAAAATTACTGTCAACCTAGAATACTATACTCAACAAAAATCCCTCAAGTGAAACGGGACATCATGGAACAGGAAAAGTTAGGAAGCTCTAATAATGGTCAAGGCAAGGCATGATAGCCTTGACCAAATGATAGTAATAAATGTGGGAAGAAGATGAATGAAAAAATATTTTGCAAGCAGACCCAGCTGGACATGCCAACATGGAATTGAAGAGAAAAAGGGAACCAATCACAAGCCCTGGGTTTTTTATATGACCAACTAGATGATCATGGATGCCATTTCTGAGATGAAGGGGACTGAAGACAAAAGAGGCTTAGAAATGTATTTAGTGTTTGTATTAATATATTGAGTTTGAGGTTTCTGTAATATAAGCTGAGATAATAAACAGGAAGTTCGATATAGGAGAAGAAAACATATGGCTCACTCCCTCAGTTCCTTCATACTCTACTGAAATGTGACATGATTAAGGGAGGAAATCCTTGAAAACTTTATATAGAATATTAATCCAAATCCACCCTTCATCGCCTTATTCTGCCTTATTTTTACCTCTTGACACATTATATATTTATTTGCATTTTTGCTTATTAATAATCTGCCTGATATAAGAACATCACCTCACAGTGAACAAGAATGTTGTCCATTCTGTTAACTGCTATATCCCTAGTACACATGGGTAACATGTAATGGGTAATCAATAACTTTTTATTAAATGAATGGAGCAAGCCCAGGAGAGATTTAAAGTCAACTCCTCCCCATTGAAGAAACTAAAGCACATAATTTAAATCAAGGCCCTAAGTTCTAAGGGTTTGATATGTTTTCTCTTATCTAACCATTGCCACCTCACTATTATTTATCAGAATATAAAAGCAAGAAGGGTACAGTATTTAAGTACTCTTAAATATTTCTTAAGAATGTTATTCTGGGGTGGCGCCCATAGCTCAGTGGGTAGGGTGCTGGCCACATATACCCAGGCTGGTGGGTTCAAACCTGGCCCAGGCCAGCTAAACAACAATGACAACTGCAACAAAAAAATAGCCGGGAGTTGTGGCGGGCACCTGTGGTCCCAGCTACTTGGGAGGCTGAGGCAAGAGAATTGCTTAAGTCCAAGAGTTGGAAGTCGCTGTGAGCTGTGATGCTACAGCACTCTACTGAGGGTGCCACAGCAAGACAGTCTCAAAAAAAAAAAAAGAATTTTACTCTGCTTGTGATTATATCCCAAATACCTCCCAGAGTTCTAGTCTTGGTCAACTCATCAGTAGGTCCTAAGTGAACATGTGTGATGGCTATTGATATTTAAATCTAACCTTAAAGTGTATATTCAGAACAGATCAATATGTGAGTTTCTTCTTGATACTTTGCCTATGAATACATTAAGTCATTACTGGGTAAAAAGAATGCCCAGTAATAACCAAGGCAAATGACTTTAGTTTGAAAGAGAAAATTCAATATACTTTTTAAAAATTAATAATACAGCTCTTCATCAAACTATTAAGCCTTAACCAATATGAAAATCACATTTAATGTGCCATGCCAATGTAGCTTGTATAAAGAAAATAAATATCTCAGTATATTTTAGAAACTTTATTGTCAATTTTTCAGTATTCTCACCTCCTATTCTGTTCCAAACATAATTTTATGTAAAAACAAGTATTATGTTTTATTTCCTAAATGCAGTGTTCAGCTATAATATAGTATATACTATTCTTTTTCACTATTCTTGGTGGAGTTATAAGGGAGAAATTAATGTAGAATCTATAAAAACAGTCATTCCCTTACTTTTCTTAGCGACTTCCTTAATGACTTCATAAAAAGGACAATTATACCTTTAACTCAGACAATGTTCTACTAGTATCTTAGAATTACTCCTTACCAGTACCTCTGTTTCACCTCTATTAATAAAAAATCAAAAAAGTCAACACATTTCATCAAATACACACACACACACATATATATATGTATATTAAAAGTATACTGTCAGACACAGTAGGTAGCTCATGCCTGTAATCCTAGCATTTTGGGAGGCTGAAGAGGGAGGATCACTGGAGCTCAGGAGTTCAAGACCAGCCTGAGCAGTATAGAGACCCCATCTTTATAAAAAATTTGAAAATTAGCCAGGCACAGTGGTGTACACCTGCTACTCAGGAGCCTGAGCCAGGAGGATCACTTGAACCCAAGAGTTCAAGGCTATAGTGAGCTATGATCATTCCACTACACTCTAGCCAAGCAACAGAGTGAGACCCAGTCTTTTTTTTTTTTTAATAAATGATAGCTGTATATATTAATGCAAACATGGGGTACAGTGTAGTGTTTTCATATACCCAGTCTTTAAAAATATATATTATATGTGTGTGTGTGTATATATATATATATATATCTCATGGGGAAAAAGGAAAGACTTTGTACAAGATATGAAAATATACAGAAATCACCTAGGAAGACAATTTAGAAAAGATTATTTTAATGAAGATTGTGTGTTTACATTTAAGTATTGTAAAATAGAATAAATTTATATTAGTAAGAATAACTAAAAGATATTGGGAGGAAAAAATCAGAATCAAACAAAATATCTGATACTCTTAACATATTATATAATTATTACTTATTGTAGCTTATTTATATAAATATCAAAGCCAAGTTTGCTTTATACTTTTTTCCTAAGATTTCAAACAATAGGGGGAAAAACCATACTGATTTGGGCTAACTTCAACATTATGTAATCTTTATTATTCTTCAGTGCTAGCTTCAAAAGAAATAAAGCAGCCTATTTTATTTCCTCGTGGCAGAATTTAGAAAAGAGGAAGAAAACATCTTCTTTTACCTCTGTTCTGTACTTGCTTTTCATGAACTTGCTTTGAACTTTTAAATTTATCATCCCAATTTCATTAAAAAGCACAATGAGTCACTATCTTCTGTACAAATTAGAGCTATGGATAACGAAAAAATAATCTCCAGGTGAAAGGAACACTAGGAGGAGGTTAAAACTCCTACATCCTAAAAAATATTTGGGAGTTTTTCTCAAGTCAAAAGGAAGCATAAATACCTAACAAATGGTTTACATAAAACATGGCAAAAAGTGCACAGACACTGGTTCGCATCATCTGAAAAGACCGGATGAGACAGGTTCGTAATTCTTGTCTTCTTTGAAGGGAATAACTTTTTTAACATAATGACCTTCTCATTCAATTATGTATCTGTAGCTTCCCAGAAATCAAAAGCATAAAGAGAAATCATAATGGCTTCTTCCAGTATTAAAGATTATCAAAAGCAGTGGTTTTTATTATAGTCACAGACTTTTCCAGTGTTTAAGAAATCATCTAATGATTATTGTTGCCCAACTTTTTATATCTTTATCAACAAACCATGCAGGCATCCAGAAGGTTGCCTTTCATTCCCCATATGCTCACTCAACCTGATTCATTTGGGGAGCATCAGGATATAGGTGAGTTAGGTTTCTAATGGTGCCAGAAGGGTCAGATTCCACTTATCCCAAGTTTAAAGAATTCGTAAAGTGATGAGCTTGTAACCCGGCCTTTCAGAGAAAAGAATGATCTTGATTTACCATTGACATATCTCCAAGGCAGGTCTTTAAACCTACTGAGCCTTTTCATGTATCCTAGCAATATTCACTGACCACCTACCAAGGGTTAAACACAATGCTCAGGGCTAGGGATTTAAAGGCAAACAAGATACAACTGGTATACCAAATCTGCACAAAATAGAATGAGATTTAAAAATATGAAAGTAGCATTAAACTTCATTTAGTTCTTCTAACACAAGATACATCCCTTCTCAGACCTATTTTCTTCTCAAATATTATTTCCCCCGCCTGGTAGACCCTGTTTTTCTCCAGTTAATGCCTACTCATCCGGTCAATTCCTGTCCTGACCCTCCCCCCCCCAGATTAGGTTCAATGCTCCTGTAACAGAACCCTATTTTCCCTTACCATAGATGTCTTGCTTTAACTATAATTGTTTCTCTAACGGCTTGCCCTCTCCTGTTACTGTGTACCACCCATGTGGTCAGGATCCTTGTCTGCCATCCACAGAGCCCTGTATGCAATGATATTCAAAAAACATTTCCCTCTAAACTAATAGATAATCACTGATGAAGAAAAAGAACCCAGTTAAGTTTACTGCTAAGGTAAGCTGCTTCTGAATTCTAGATTATAGTTTTTAACCATCCAAAATTACTAAGACATAAATATTCTTTTCCCTTAAAGTGGCTCATTATAAGTTCCATCCCTCTATAAGCTACAAACCTCAAAAAGAATCGTTTAACACAGTTTCTAGATATTCAACAACCTTTCATTCTTTTTAATTTTAAATTAAGTGGATTTTATTACATTTAAAACCCTTGTCATCAAAAATAAACCTCCTTTGAACCACTGTCCCAAAAGATAAGTTACTGGCATTGAAGTTACATTCACCTTAGAGGGGTCATATCTTCTGAGTGTTTCTAAGAGTTTTGGAATCTGTATTCTTGTCTCTTCTTCACAGAAGAAAATCCAAGATGAATTTCTGCTGTACGTTACAGAAAAGCTGACAAAAAGAAAGTGGATTCTAGTCATCGCTTCTTAAAATGAATTTACGATAAGGTTTAAAACTGATAAGCAGGAAAGAATGATGGGCATAAAGAATGGTAAAAAATCTAGATTTTTTTCCTCTATATTTATCCTCAATGTATAGCTTCAGCTTATAGATAGGTAAGTCAGATAGTAACAGTTTAGAAAACATCTAGGATTCTTAAGATTAATTCTCAGCCAGGCATGATAGTTCATTCACACCTATAATCCTAGCACTCTGGGAGGCTGAGGTGGGTGGATCACCTGAGCTCGGGAGTTCAAGACCAGGCTGACAAGAGCAAGATGCCATCTCTACTAAAAATAGAAAAACTGGGCGGTGCCCATGGCTCAGTGGGTAGGGTGCCAGCCCTATATACTGAGGGTTCAAACCTGGCCCTGGCCAAACTGCAACAAAAAAATAGCCGGATGCTGTGGCCAGTGCCTGTAGTCCCAGCTAGTCAGGAAGCTGAGGCAAGAGAATTGCCTAAGCCCAAGAGCTGGAGGTTGCTGGGAGCTGTGTGACACCATGGCACTCTACTGAGGGAGATAAAGTGAGACTCTGTCTCTACAAAATAATAATAATAATAATAAATAGAAATAGAAAAACTAGTGGCAGGTGCCTGAAGTCCCAGCTACTTGGGAGGCTGGGGCAAGCGGACTGCTTGAGCCCAAGAGTTTGAGGTTGCTATGAGCTATGACGACAACACGGCACTCTACCAAGGGCAACAAAATGAGACTCTGTCTCAAAAAAAAAAAAAGATGAATTCTCTCCATAACAACACCTGTTCAGAAGACAAATAATTCTCAAATATCAAGTTGAAACATTTTGTCTTTTAAGAAAAAAGTGTATTCAAAAATAACAGCTGTTCATGATTAAGAATCAATCATCAAGAAATCTGGTTAACGGAGTAATCATAAAAAGTAACATTCAAATTTCCTTCATTTACTGACCAAGGGAAAACACATCCATTTTATATGAAAATGAGGGAGCCCTGAGAGTAGTATTAGCACCCATGCTCTGCACATTTAGTTAAACGTACTGCGGTAACAATGGAAGTATGGTCCAGGCACCTTCCTGCTTGGCCAGCTGATGAAGGAGGAGGACTCTGGGGAGCTCCTGAAAAACAGTGATCAAAAAAGACAAGACTGGGTGTTAAATGCAGCTATTTCTAGGGCCCTGACATGGTAGTCTTCCTACTATTCTCTGTTCTTTCTCTCTGGAACCTACTGGAATGAAGTATTTTGGCTAAACCTACACCACCTTTCCATCACCCTTTCCATCACCCCGGTACCTCATAGGGCTGGAGGCCTACAGGAAGGGTCTTCTGTGACACTCGGAGCTACCCTGAAATCTGCAAATTTTCAAAGGTGACCGGAAGGGAAGATCCCAGGAGAAGTTGTCGGGGATAACTCAGAGGTGCAAACATAGTGTTTTATTTCATATGCAACACACGTAACACATGTAAAGTAAAATCCTTTGGCTAAACAAGAGGATAGAATATCTCATCCACCTCATGCAAAAAAAAAAAAAATTTTTTTTAAGTGTTCTAAAAACATTAAAACAACACAATAATAAAACATTTTGGTCTAAATACTAAAATATCCTTATTTACTCAATAATAAGAACATCATAACGATGAAATTTACAAATGTATAGGCATAAGTGGAACCAAGATTCAGAATAAGGCACAACTGTGGTTATATATGAAGGAGAAATTAATATTTTTAAGGCTATGAGCATTAGCTTTGAGTAAAGCACTATTTGCTATATTTCAAGTTGTTACAAAAGCCAAAAGTCAAAAATTCCTATCTGATATGCTTGAACCTCCTCCATCAACAAATTTATTTTAGGGTAGGTGAAGTGGCTCATACCTGTAATCTAAGCACTCCCAGAGGCTAAAGTGCGTGGATCATTTGAGCTCACCAGTTTGTGACCAGCCTGAGCAAGACTGAGACACTGTCTCCACCAAAAATGAAAAACTGAGGCAAGAGGATCTCTTGGGCCCAAGAGTTTGAGGCTGCTGTGAGCCATGAGGCCATGTCACTTTTCCAAGGGTGACAAAGTGAGACTCTGGCTCAAAAAAAAAAAAAAAGAAAAAAAGAAAACTTTATTTTACCCTGTTTTATACTGGTTATAAAACTATATTCTTTAGCCAGGCATTGTGGAAGGTGCCCGTAGTCTCAGCTACTCAGGAAGCTGAGGCAGGAGGATCACTTGAACCCCAGAGTTTGAGATTGCTGTAAGCTAAGCTGATGCCATGACACTATAGCCGGGGGAAACAGAGTGAGATGCTGCCTCAAAAATAAATAAACAGGGATGGGGAGTCATGGTGTTTGGCACACCTCTTGGAGAAGGAATACATTTATAAGAGGGACTTTGCCTGACAAATGCAAAGTGTACCCTCAATGAATACCCAACAATAAATAAATAAATACCATATTCCTAGTAACCATGAGAAACAGAGGAATTTAAAAATAAATGCCTAAATGTTTGAACTATTACTATACTGATGCAGATTCCATAGAAATCTTAAAGTTCACATATATTTATTACTTAAGAAGAAGAAAATGGTTTTTAACACAACTTTGGAACTGAATATCAGATAAACCTCATTTATTTCTTTTATGTAGTATTTATTTGAATGTCCATGTAGAAACATGAAATGCAAAAACAGTAATCAAAGGTTAAATCAGACAATGTAGCATGTTAGAAAGAAAAGAGCAAATTTTAAGACCGAATTAGCAGTTACCCAATATAAATAATTCAGGGCCTTCCTACTGTTGCTTCTGAATTATGCAGTAGTTTTCATTGTCTTTTAAAAACTGCAATATATATACACCCACGCATATATATTCATGAAGGATTACATAAGAGTAAAAAATCATGCATAAAATAACTAATGACGCTGCTATTTGCATAAAAGTTTGGAATAATTACAAAAGAATGCTAATGTGAACAAGACAAGAAAAGAAACAGAGCAAGCATTTTCAAGTTTTACATAGAAGCCCAGTATGGTGGCTTACTCCTATAATCCTAGGTCTCTGGGAGGCTGAGGCAGGTGGATTGCTTGACCTCAGAAGTTCAAGACCAGCCTGAGCAAGAGTGAAACCTCGTCTCTATTAAAAATAGAAAAACCAGCCAGGTGTTGTGGCAAGTGCTTATACTCCCACCTACTCAGGAGGCTGAGGCAGGAGGATGGCCTGAGTGCAGGAGTTTGAGGTTGCTGTGAGCTATGATGACAGCATAGCACTCTACCCAGGGCAACAGAGTGAGACTCTGTCTCAAAGAAAAAAAAAGTTTTACATGAAAGTAACTAGCTGATGAGTTATTATGTAGCAATTAAAATAATAAAAACTTTATAATGAAAATGTCTTTGTATTTAATGAAAAAAACCACAAACGATTGCAACAATAAAACAAAATCATATGTGACATTAAGACTGAGAGAACCAGAAAATGGAAACATACATGTCAACATGACAGAATGAGGCTTTAAAAGTCTTATAATATAGTTAAGACATAGTTAAGTTTTTAAAAATTGAGGGAAAATAAATGTACTGTAAAAATTTACCTCTGGGGTGGTGCCTGTGGCTCAGTGAGTAGGGCGCCGGCCCCATATACCAAGGGTGGCAAGTTCAAACCTGGCCCCAGCCAAACTGCAACAAAAAAATAGCCGGGCATTGTGGCAGGCACCTGTAGTCCCAGCTACTGGGGAGGCTGAGGCTAGAGAATTGCCTAAAGCCCAGGAGTTGGAGGTTGCTGTGAGCTGTGACACCACAGCACTCTACCAAGGGCAATAAAGTAAGACTCTGTCTCTTAAAAAAAAAAAATTTACCTCCCAATAACTATTGCACTTCCTAGATATAGGATAAATATAAGCAGTACCAGCAAGTACTGACTGAGAAAGGCTTCCTTTTACGCTGAGATGGTAAGCCCAGCTGAAAGGCTTCAAGGCACTTTCCTCAGAAGACAGGCTTATGAATAACTTCGCCGTAACAATAAAAATGTAGCAGGCAAAGGTTTAGTTGGTACAAAAAAGTAATCAAATCCTAGACTAAAATAAACTCTATGGCTTATCAATGGATTAAAGTCATTCCCAGCTCCATAACTTTTTGTGTACTAAATCAGTGGACTTCATATTTGCTTCAGTTTGTGAACACAAGAATAATAATCAACGTTTCTGTACCCCCGTACTGCCAAATAGAAACATTTCAAAAATTACATGCCTTCTTAATAACATGCTCCGAAGTTGTGGAGTACTTACAGAGTAGTTTCTACCTGGATATTCCAAACCCTGGTCTTGATTCAGTCTTGATTAAGCAAAGGTCATCATAATTATAAATAAATTTTAATCTACTAATTCCCAGAAGGGCCCAAGAGCTTTTATTCTTATCTCTCTCTCTCTCTCTCACACACACACAGAGAAATAACACACATATTCAGATATATTAGCAACTGTAAGATAAATAAAATTTTCTATCAAATAATAGTTATCTTTTATGATACTTTATATTCCATCTATCACTCTAAGATTTAGACTTCCTTAAATGTGCTCTGTTACCAGAAATGGCATTTTCAGATGCAAAGCAAGTTTTTTAATAAGTAATTAAATGGATAATTAAGCGTTTTCAAATGAAAAGTCAAGGAGAAAATAAGAAAAATGTTGCATCAACATTACCAAGAGTTATTTGGAATAAAGACATTTTAAAGGCACTCGTGCATGCAGCCACTGTCTGCTGTCAGTCTAAATGATGCCTAATCATGCTGCTATTTTAAACGTAAAAGGTAAGTCACAATTCTCCCAATAATGAGATAATTCCTTAACAGAGGCAAACATACAATAGCTAAAAATACAAATGATCAAACGTAGGTAAATGACAGAAAAGAGAATGAAAATGAAAAGGTTGAGTGCAGTAATTTAAACGTCTTTGTCAATTCTATTTGTCACTTGAATCAAAGTCTGCCCTTATTTCCACCATCAGCCTCTATTGGTATCATAACCACCCAGAAGACAGAAAGCCTGCCGGACTTGCACTCTTCATTTCCTTTCAACGTATTTCTTATCACGGCATATATTCATATTTAAAGTAGCTAAAAATTATTGAGAGTAGACAAATTTAAAACCAACATTCTAATTCAATAGTTGGTTCTTATACATATTCATAATCCTCATTTAGGAAGGGGGTTTGATTCCAAGGTCATAGCTGAGCAGACTCAAAGTATTGTGAGACTGCAGAAAGCCCATTATTTGTTGGGGTTTTTTTTTTTTAGCTTATTTTTATTTTTTCAAAGCCCATTATTCTTGAAATAGCCAAAAAATACTAAAAATCTGTATCTAGAAATATTAACCGTGTAAATGAAAAAGCTAACATTTGAATGCGTATTAAAGCAGATGAATATTTAAAATACCATAAATAAGTTTCATTGTTCCACAGATTGGGTTTTGAACTACTTTAGTTTTTCTCCTGTCTAGAAAGAATTCAACAATTTAAATCTCTCTCTTGTAAATAGACTGTTTCCCAGTATTTGCAATTTATACTTCCCTTAATTTAACCTCTAAGCCTAGAAGTACATGAGTTCGTAGTCTAATTGCAGTCTTATTATTCAGAACAAATGCTAAATTAGAAAGCAGGAGCAATACATTTGTTCAGTGTTAGGTGAGGGCTCAAAAAAACTGAATTCTGTTTTAAGACTTATTTCAGTTCAACTGTATTTCCAATTTGAAAATCATATCCTTCTTAGGCACCAAACTGAGCTTTTGGACCAACAAGTAAATAATGATTTAAATTATATCTGTTTATTATTATAATTTCTTCCATAAGAGGTAGATCTGTCTTATAACAGAGATGTGTACTATGCTGTTTAGAACATATAACAGACAGATTTAGTAGCCTTCAGATATTTAGTAGCCATTTATGGACCACAGCAGATTATACGTGATGTTACAACAATACACCTTTTAGGAATTTGAGTCCACATCAAAAGAAAAGGAAATTTTTTGTATTGATATCCGTCTTAATCACTAACTGTCCTTTCCTAAAAGGAAAAAAAAAAATTACCACACTATCTATAAATTTTTATTTTTATTAACTATTTACTTTGAAATGCATTACTAAG